GGCTGTAGTGCAGTGGCATGATCATAGCTCACCACAGCCTCAACTTCTCAGGCTCAAGTGACCTCCCACCTCATCCTCCCAAGTAGCGGGAACCGTAGGCACACGCCATGATGTCTAATTTTTTATCTGTTTTGTAGAGATGGGGGTCTCCGTATGTTGCTCAGGCTGGTCTCAAACTCCTGGCCTCAAGTGATCCTCCTGCTTTGGCCTCCCAAAGTGCTGGGATTATAGGCATGAGCCACTGTGTCGGGCCAGCAATTCCTTTTTCCTTTTTTTTTTGAGATGAGGTCTCACTCTGTCACCTAGGCTGTAGTGCAGTGGTACGATCTCAGCTCACTGCAACCTACGCCTCCCAGGCCCAAGCAATCCTCCCACCTCAGCCTCTCGAGTAGCTGGGACTACAGGTGTACACCACCACGCCCCAGCCAATTTTTTGTATTTTTGGTAGGGAGAGTTTCACCATAGTTGTCCAGGCTGGTCTTGAACTCCTGAGCTCAAGCAATCCACCCACCTAGGCCTCCTAAAGTGCTGGGATTACAGGTGTGAGCCACCATGCCCAGCCTTCAATTTCTTAAAAGTAGATTATTGTATAATAAGAAATTTTCTAAAAACAGATTACTATGAGAACACCTTGTAATGATAAATATTTTTCTTTCACATGGTGAAATCATAACTTACATGTATTTAACTCCCTCAGATTCAGTGATACATGTTCCATGGGGACATGGAGAGAGAGAACAATATAAATAATGCAATGATTCAGCAACCGGGTTCCCTGGAGTAGGTGTGAGACGGGATACTGGCATCTGGGGTTCCGTCCATCAATCTCTGTTCCCACATGCTTTTTAGCGAGCATCTTGCTGCTCTACTTATTAATCTGGGTACATATTTTCAGCCATGTGACCCCTAAAATAAGTCAACTCCTTCATCTTCACCTGGAGCGAAACTGTCAAAACAGCAACTTGTTCTAGGGCTGGAGGCAAAATTGGCTCCAGCAGACCCACTGGGAAGTGGGAGGCATTTGCTATGCTTTGTGGACAATTTAAGGGTTTAAAACGCCATTTTGATGAGCCATGATTTTCATCTTAAGTGCCAACTTTAGAAGATAACCTTCACCGGCCAGGTGCAGTGGCTCACACCTGTAATCCCAGCACTTTAGGAGGCCGAGGCGGGCAGATCACGAGGTCAGGAGATCGATACCATCCTGGCTAACATGGTGAAACCCCGTCTCTACTAAAAATACAAAAAATTAGCCGGGCATGGTGGCGGGCGCCTGTAGTCCCAGCTACTCGGGAGGCTGAGGCAGGAGAATGGCGTGAACCCGGGAGGCAGAGCTTGCAGTGAGCCGAGATC